TATGCTGTGTTCAGCCACTAGTCTATTTAGACTAGGCTCTCTCAACCTTTGATCCTCCTATCTTTGATCTTGCTTTGTACTTAAGCTCCCCCAAATTGTCTGGTTGCTTTCAGTTTTGGAAAAAAAAATCTGTCCAGGAAGTGCTAACACATGTGGAAATACTCCTGACACTCCCGCATAGCTCCAATTGAGGGCATTTAGGAGCAACATTTTTTTTTCATTACGAGTGCACTGGTGGGTATAGTTCCCCAAGGTATTTCTAAAGATATTGTAACCTGTTAATTTCCCATGGTTGCCCTCTGTGATCTAGAACAGGGCTTTTTAAACATTTTCTACTCACAACCCCTTTTCACTCGAGAAACCTTTATGTGGCCGTGGGCATGTCTATCTATCTATCTAGCTATTGATAAAGAAATGAAAATATATATAGATGTTTGTTTTTCAAAATCTACATAGCTTGATGGATCTGAACCAAACTTGGTACACATACCCTTTATTATCTAATTTACAATACTGGTGGTATTGGCATGTATACCAAGTTTTGTCCAGATACATGTAGCCATCTAGAAGCCTTTGTGGTACAAACATAGATACATATTTTCACTGGTATATAGAGAGATAGGAGCCCCTGGTGATGCAGCGTGTTAAACCACTGAGCTGCTGAAGGTTGCGGCCAAAAGGTCGCAGGTTCAAATCCGGGGAGTGGTGTGAGCTCCCGCTGTTAGACCCAGCTTCTGCCAACCTAGCAGTTCGAAAACATGCAAATGTGAGTAGATCAATAGGTACTGCTCCAGCTGGAAGGTAACAATGCTCCATGCAGTCATGCCAGCCACATTTATTTATTTTTATTTATTTATCATGTCATCCGCAACCAGAACACTGTACTACATTTCCAACAGAACAAAACAAACAAACAGATAAAAAAACAACACAAATTTTGCAAACTTGGTAGCTGATCAAATGTCCCTTGACCAGTATCTGGCCACTTGGAGTGCCTCTGGTGTTGCCGCAAGAAGGTCCTCCATCGTGCATGTGGCAGGGCTCAGGTTGCATTGCAGCAGGTGGTCAGTGGTTTGCTCTTCTCCACACTCACATGTTGTGGATTCCACTTTGTAGCCCCATTTCTTAAGATTGGCTCTGCATCTCATGGTGCCAGAGCGCAGTCTGTTCAGCGCATTCCAAGTCACCCAGTCTTCTGTGTGCCCAGGGGGGAGTCTCTCATCTGGTATCACCCACGGATTGAGGTGCTGGGTTTGAGCCTGCCACTTTTGGACTCTCGCTTGCTGAGGTGTTCCAGCGAGTGTCTCTGTAGATCTAAGAAAACTATTTCTTGATTTAAGTCGTTGACGTGCTGGCTGATACCCAAACAAGGGATGAGCTGGAGATGTCTCTGCCTTGGTCCTTTCACTATTGGCTGCTATTTCCCGGCGGATGTCAGGTGGTGCAATGCCGGCTAAGCAGTGTAATTTCTCCAGTGGTGTAGGGCGCAGACACCCCGTGATAATGCGGCATGTCTCATTAAGAGCCACATCCACTGTTTTAGTGTGGTGAGATGTGTTCCACACTGGGCATGCGTACTCAGCAGCAGAGTAGCATAGCGCAAGGGCAGATGTCTTCACTGTATCTGGTTTGTGATCCCCAGGTTGTGCCAGTCAGCTTTCGTATGATATTGTTTCTAGCACCCACTATTTGTTTGATGTTCAGGCAGCCACATGACCTTGGAGGTGTCTACGGACAATGCTGGCTGTTCTGCTTAGAAATGGAGATGAGCACCAACCGCCAGTCAGACATGACTGGACTTAATGTCAGGGGAAAACCTTTACCTTTACCTTATATAGGGAGAGATAAAAGCACATTTTCATACAAATGAGATGGATGTGCTTCAATTCTTTATTTTTACATAAACAATGAAATCTTTGCTGAATATTTGATATTGGATGACATACATCTTCAACATTTTTCATGTCATGCTTGTATACTTGGTTTGCAGCCTCAATTGGAGGCTGAAGCAGTTGCATTTGCTGCAAGTAGTTGCTAACAGATTCATGTCAATGTCTAAAACAGCCACACATTTCAGGAACTCCAAATGAGATTGTGACTCACAGTTTAAAAGCTATGCTCTAGATCAGGTATGGGCATACTTTGGCCCTCCAAGTGTTTTGGAATTCAACTCCCATAATTCCTAACAGCCAGTAGGTTGATATGAATTGTGGGAGTTGAAGTCCAAAACACCTGGAGGGCCAAAGTTTGCCCATACCTGACCTAGGTCAATATTATCTGAATGTCTCTGCAGAGCCTGACACAGTATTCTTTTCTGCTGCTGTCTGAAGATTATTTGCATCCCACACAAATATCAGACCTGACCCTGCTTAGCTTCCAAAATCAGATAAAATGTGGTATATAGTTGAATGGCACTAGAGTCCCAGAGGAACCATCCATGTCAGCAGCTTTGGAATTTATAGAGAATATAAACAGAGTGAAAGTTGAGGATCAGAACACCTTTAGTAAACAGTTTGAATGCCATTATAGAATGCAAAACAATTTCACCTCCTGGCTAAATGTCAGAACACAAGACAGTAAATACTGCAACCCAGCACTGTAACATTCCTTCCTTTTGAAAGAAAAACATACACATTCCATCCTCAAAGACATATTTCTCCTGAAGGTCTTCTTCTTTTGATTAAAGTAAGTTTTTTTAAAAAAAAATCCTTTGCTTTGTCCAGGGCAACCGCCAAGATCCAGAGGTCTGAAATACTTGAATGTCCAAAGATGTGACTAAATTATAGATAAAGGATCTATATGTGTTCAATGTGTTTTCGAAGGTTTTCATGGCCAGAATCATTGGGTTGATGTGAGTTTTTTGGATTGTATTACCTTGTTCCAGAAGCATTCTTTCCTGACGTTTCACCCACATCTATGGCAGGCATCCTCAGAGGTTGTGAGGTCTATTGGAAACTAGGCAAGTGAGGTTTATTTATCTGTGGAATGTCCAGGGCGGGAGAAAGAACTCTTGTCTGCTTGAGGCAAGTGTGAATGTTGCAATTGGCCACCTTGATTAGTACTGAATGGCCTTGCAGTTACAAAGCCTGGCTGCTTCCTGCCTGGGAGAATCCTTTGTTGGGAAGTGATTAGCTGGCCCTGATTGCTTCCTGTCTGGAATTCCCTGTTTTCTGAGTGTTGTTCTTTATTTACTGCCCTGATTTTAAAGGGTTTTTAAAATACTGGTAGCCAGATTTTGTTCCTTTTTATGGTTTCCGTCTTTCTGTTGAAATTGTCCACATGCTTGTGGATTTCAATGGCTTCTGTCAAAAGTCTGGCATGGTGGTTGTTCGAGTGGTCCAGCATTTCTGTGTTCAGGTGCTCTGCTATGGCTTCTCAGGTTGAATTAGTCTGCAGTGCCTTTCATGTTCCTTGATTCGTGTTTGGGCGCTGCATTTGGTGGTCCCTATGTAGACTTGCCCACAGATACATGGTCTACAGTAGACTCCTGCAGATAGGATGTGTGTGTGTGTTTGAAAACATAGAAATGAATGACGAAGTGGGGATGCATTTAATTAAAAAAATCAGTTGTAATAAGCTCTCTTGATAATTTTAAAGTTATTTGGTATTAAAAGTGGTGTGATTTTTACATGTTAGTTAAGCCTCTGGCCCCTTCTACAATGCCATATAATCCAGTTCAAAGCAGATAATCTTCTGGACTTTATATGGCAGTGTAGTAGGGGCCTCCCTTATCCTAAATGCTTGGGAACAAAAATGTTGTTGTTATTCTGGAATGCCTGTATTTGCATAAACATAGCAGTTAGAAAACATGCAAATGTGAGTAGATCAATATGTACTGCTTTGGCAGGAAAGTAAATGACGCTCCATGCAGTCATGCCAGCCACATGAGCTAGGAGGTGTCCACGGACAACGCAGGTTCTTTGTCTTAGAAATGGAGATGAGTGCCACCACCCAAGAGCCTGAAGGGGACACCTCTCCCTTCATCTTTGTTTTGTTATTTCTAGGCAGTGAATGTTTGCTTTTGCATTTGTGTAAATCTGCCCTGAGTCCCCTGGAAAAATAGGGCAGAATACAAATAAATCATTATTATTATTATTATTATTATTATTATTTGTAATGAGATATCAGGAGATGGGACTCAAGTCTAACACAATATTTATTTATGCTTCAAATACACTTTAAACTCATAGCCTGAAGGGAATTTTATACACAATATTTGCAATACTTTTTGTGCATGAAACAAAGTCAGGAACTCAGCCACACATATTGACACTTAAAATTTTTGGAATATGTCAAGTTTCGGGCTTCTGGATAAGCAATGCTCAGCCAGGGTTGCTGTGAGCTTTCCGGGCTGTATTGCCATGTTCCAGAAGCATTCTCTCCTGATGCTATGCCTGCATCTATGGCAGGCATCCTCAGAGGTTGTGAGGTCTGTTGAAAAGTAGGCAAGAGGTGTTTATATATCTGTGGAATAATGTCCAGGGTGCTGGAGGCAAGTGTGAATGTTGCAATTGGCCACCTTGATTAGCATTGAATGGCCTTGCAGTTTCAAAGCCTGGCTGCTTCCTCCTAGGGGGGAATCCTTTGTTGGGAGGTGTTAGCTGGCCCTGATTGTCTGGAATTCCCCTGTTGTTTTTTTAAGCGTTGCTCTTGATTTACAGCCTGTATTTAACTCCCATTTATATTTAACTTCCATTTCTATTTGTCTAATGTATAGCCCATGAAAATAAAAGGTTGGATGAAAATTATAGGGAGGCTCTGCTTGCGAAAAGAAAGCTATCTTGGGTCGAGTTTAGGACAGCTTTATCTCCAAATGAAAGGCTTTGCTGGGCTTTCCGCTCTTTGCAGCTCAGCAGATGCGGAGCCCTCCCGGCCTGGCCTGCCATTAGATCACCAACAGCCCCAAACCTCGCCCTTTCGTTTTGACAGCTGGGCGGCGCGGGGCATGCTGGGAAACGGAGTCCGCTCTCGCTCTTCCCCTCGCAGGAGGAGGCGAAGTCACGACAAAGTATTGACTACAAATCCTAGAAGCCCAGGCGGCTTCTCTCCCGTTGCCGGAAAACTGAAACGAGAGGCATCTTCTTCTGTAATTGCTCATTCTGAATGCCGCTGCTGATCGGAGTTGCATTTGGGAGAAGCCAAACGCGGTGAGTTTGAAACTTTTGGATGTATGTAACGATGTGCCCCTCTCTCTCCGTTTCGCATTGGCCGCTAATTGTGGCAGGCGCTCTTTGGAAACGGAGAAAAGTTGGTGGACCCCTCCCCCCCCCTCCTCCGTTAGGGACCGGCCCTTGAAAGGACATTCAAGCTGCAGATGCTGACCTTCTTGGCGCTTTGCCCTCCTCCTTTACCCCGGGACAAATGTAAGAGGACGAGGTTCGCATCGTCACAAGGTTTCATTGCCATCGGGGAACCCGTGAGCTCCCAAAACTAGATTTGTATAAGACAATGTTAGGAATGCAGGTCAGAATGGGACTCCTGCTGATGCGTGCGCTTCGCATCCCTGTTGTTGTTGTTGTTGTTGTTGTTGTTGTTCATTCCATCAATCGTTTCCGACTCTTCGTGACCTCATGGACCAGCCCACGCCAGAGCTCCCTGTCGGCCGTCACCACCCCCAGCTCCTTTAGAGTCAATCCAGTCACTTCAAGGATGCCATCCATCCATCTTGCCCTTGGTCGGCCCCTCTTCCCTTTTCCTTCCATTTTCCCCAGCATAATTGTCTTCTCTAAGCTTTCCTTTCTTCTCATGATGTGGCCAAAGTACTTCAACTTTGTCTCTAGTATCCTTCCCTCCAATGAGCAGCCGGGCTTTATTTCCTGAAGTATGGACTGGTTGGATCTTCTCGCAGTCCAAGGCACTCTCAGCACTTTCCTCCAAGACCACAGTTCAAAAGCATCGATCTTCCTTCGCTCAGCCTTCCCTAAGGTCCAGCTCTCACATGCATAGATGATTACAGGGAATACCATTGCTTCAACTATGTGGATCTTCGTTTCCAGTGTGATGTCTCTACTCTTTACTATTTTATCGAGATTGGACATTGCTCTCCTCCCACGAAGTAAGCGTCTCCTGATTTCCTGGCTGCAGTCTGCGTCTGCAGTAATCTTTGCACCTAGAAATACAAAGACTGTCACTGCCTCCACATTTTCTCCCTCTGTTTCCCAGTTGTCAATCGTTCTTGTTGCCATAATCTTGGTTTTTTTGATGTTAAACTGCAACCCAGCTTTTGCGCTTTCTTTTCCCACCTTGATTAGAAGGCTCCTCAGCTCCACCTCACTTTCAGCCATCAAAGTGGTGTCACCTGCATATCCCTGCCAGAGACCCAATTCTCTTATTAACGGGGAGATTGTGGCCCTTTTCCGAGCCCATCTTGAATAGCTTTCTACCATTTACAAGGTTTGCTTGACTCAGAGTGCATCTACAACTATAGAATTTAATGCAGTTTGATACCACTTTCACTGCCATGGTTCATTGCTACGGAGGCCTGGGAGTTGTAGTTTTACAAGGTCTTCAGCTTTCTCTACCAAAGAGTACTGGCACCTCACCAAAATGCATTAATTCTATAGTATAAATCTGACATGGACAAACTTAGGCCCTCCAGGTGTTTTGGACTTCAACTCCCACAATTCCTGGCCTCCAGTCCTTGCCTCTTCCCCCTCTGCCACTTAAGAACTCTACTGAAGGGGACAATGGACACCTATCTATTTGATCAAACTATTCTTCATTCCATTGCTATTTATTCATCAGGTATCAATTGTCTCCTTCACTTGCCTGTTGGAGGCAAGTGTGAATATTGCAATTGGCCACCTTGATTAGCATTGAATGGCCTTGCAGATCCAAAGCCTGCCTGCTTCCTGCCTGGGGGAATCCATTGTTAGGAGGTGTTGGCTGCCCCTGATTGTTTCCTGTCTGGACTTCCCATTTTTTGTGTGTTCCTCATTATTTACTGTCCTGATGAAGGGGTACGTTGACCAACAACCTTAAGTGGCTGAGGGGGAAAAGGAAAGGCCAGGAATTGTGGGAGTTGAAGTCCAGAACACCCGGAGGGCCAAAGTTTGCCCATGCCTAGTATAGATGCACCCTTATTTGCATACTTTGCATGGTGTATTTATCCAGCCAGGCCAGGAATTGCTTAAAGGAATATTGCAGAAGTTTAGCAGAATTTCAGACATCAGGAAAGGTGGCATCATAGTTACATGGTTGTTTAGAAATCTAAACGTCTTGCACTCTGCTCCTCCTAGCCTTTTTTTAAAAAGATAAAAAATAAATAGAAGTCTCATTGAGTTCACTGGCTTTTCCTTTCAACTAAAGTCAGGTCGAGCATTCCTTATCCAGAATTATTGTAATCCAAAATAATATGCACATTTTATATGTGCGCATATTATTTTGGAATATGTGCATATATAAAATTAAATATCTTGGGGACAGGACACAAATCTAAGCATGAAATTAATTTACGTCTTATTGACATAAAAAGGTAAATGTTTCCCCTGCCATTAAGTCGAGTTTAGGGGTTGGTGCTCATCTCCATTTCTATGTCAAAGAGCCGGTCATGTGGCCGGCATGACTGCATGGAACACCTTTACCTTTCCACTGAAGCGGTACCTACTGATCTACTCACATTTGCATGTTTTTGAACTGCTAGGTTGGCAGAAGCTAGGGCTAACAACACGAGCTCACCCCACCCCACGGATCTGAAGTACCAACCTTCAAGTCAACAAGTTCAGCAGCTCAGCGGTTCAATCCACTGCACCACTGTGGCCCCATATCTTATAAATGTAGTCTTAAGATAATTTAATACAAAACATTTTAACTTTGTTCTCTTAAATTCATTACAACTGTACCTTCAGTTCACTTCTGATACTATAAATAAATAAATAAATACATTTGTAACAACTTTGTGCATAAAACAAAGTTTGTTTGCAATGACCCATCAGAAGGCAAAGGTATTAGTCTTCGCCAACCATGTGCACACTTCTGGATTTTGGATTTTCAGATAAAGGGATGCTCAGCTTGTAGTATGTTGAGATTGTAGCTCTCATAAAGAGGGAATCTTACAATATGTAAGGTCACAGTTCTTGAAAAAATTAATTATAGAGTAAGGTGAAAAACTGCTAATAAAAGTGCCCATCCATGGATAGCCGCCAGTCTACAAATTATAAATTATTTGTCCCCCAACTGTTTCTAATAATTTAACACACACAACACAGTGGGGTTGACATTAAAGATTTCCAGATTACAAATTACTGATTTACTTTCTCTCTAGTGGTGATTTTGTTGGTATGTTGAGATACTCACAAATAATGTATTAACTGGGCCAGGCTTTGGCACAGGAGGTTAATCACCAAGCTGCAATAAATATTGCTAACTGGAAGGTTGATAGTTCAAAGCCAGGTCAGGGTGAGTGCCTGACCTTTCAGCCCAGCTTCTGCCAACCTAGCAATTCAAAAACAAATGTGAGTAGATAAATAGGAACTGCCTTAAAGCCGGGAGGAATTTTAGGCACAGCATTTCAATCAGAAAAATGATTTGTCAAGGAGCTGGAACAACATTACCCCCCGTGGCTGAAACTGAGCACAGCCCCCAAAGACGCCAAATTATCCATATCTATATATATATATATATATCTGTTGTCTGTCTTGCCATTGTATAATCGGCATTGAAAGTTTGCTGTATGCTGTATGTGTTCTGTGATCCTCCCTGAGTCCCCTTCAGGGTGAAAAGGGTGGAATATAAATACTGTAAATAAAGAAATAAAATAATTAATGAAGATGTGAGCAATTGTAATTATCCATATCTTTTTATACTGCAACTCCCAGCGATTCTTACCATTGATTGCACTTATGGTTATGCCTGGAGGCTACATTTGCCAACTTTCGCATCCCTGAGATAGATAGCTAGCTAGCTAGCTAGCTAGCTAGATAGATAGATAGATATTATGCTTCTTTCTTTTCTAACATTTATGCTTCCAAATGTGCTGAGCTATACCTTCCACATTTGGAGGCGCTGTAGTCCAATGCATCAGGAAGCTTTGCTCTTACATCCTCTTTCAACATATAGTATCTTGAGCGGTTTTCTTAAACTATCGTGCATTCACTGTCAACCATGTTAGCAATTCTGGGAAAAGAGCCAGGAGTTGGCATTTATTTAATCCAGAGCAGAAAAGACAAAGGATCCTCACCAAGCTCATCCAATTTACAAGTTAAGTCTTTAGAGTTGCTTGTCCCTCCTGTATTTCCCACCAGATAAATCACACCAATTTCCCTATCGTACCCTATGTCCCCTTCTTTTATCCTTGCATCTGGCCCAGCCCACTTTGTTTAACTTCTTTTTCTTAATTTTTATTTTACTCCATATTCAGTGTTTTATCCCACTGTGTCATTTTTCTTTTATTGTTGGTATTTTTTATTGCTTGTACTTTAAGTTTGAATAATAAATAAATTTTAGTTATTATTTGCTGTGTGTATTTCATTTGTTTACTGTATTTGTTGGGCTTGGCTTCATGTTAGCCGCCCCGAGTCCCTGAGGGGAGTTTAATAATAATAATAATAATAATAATAATAATAATAATAATGGCGGCACAATGGAGGGAAGAGCAGGAAAAGTAACTATCAGAAGGCCTGCATACAAAAGCTAAAGGAGATCTGGAAATGCTTTGGACTATGAGTAGAGTCTTTAAAAACAGAAAATTGAAGACACTAAAGAAAGTTATAGGTTTCCAGGAAGATCTGGCTAGTTGGCCCCAAGTGGAAAAAAGGATATTGGGCTGGACTGGATGCATTCCTTTTTGACTAGCTAAGTTCAGTTCATGCTCCTAAGCAATTATCCATGGCAAACAGGGCAAAGCCACGGAGCTCTGCAATATATTTAACACACACAACACGGCTCCAGTGAAAAATTTGTAAACTTTTGTTGCATCACTGTAGCTAAGGAAAAGTGGGTGGGCGGGGTAGCTGTGATTTATAAAGACCATCTTAACCTGACCAAATTACCTACTAAGAAGATGAATCGCATTGAGTATATGTACCTGAGTCTGAAAAACAGGGATAGACTGGGGATTCTGTTTGTGTACTGACCACTCCGCTGCCTAAGAGACTCATTGGCTGAGCTTAAGGAACTGGTCTCGGAGGTGTTGTTGGAGTCACCCAGACTTTTGCTTCTGAGTGACTTCAACATACCATTGGAGGCCAGTTTGTCAGGTAGGATTGGGAGTTCATGGTATTCATGACAAATATCGACGTATCCCAATTGGTTTCTGGACCAACACATTAGGCAGGTCATACCCTTGATGCAATTTTCAGCTCGGAACATACGGATCTGTGGGCAGAGGTGATCAATACCTCCAAGTTGTCATGGACAGATCACTTTCTGGTCAGGGCTAGTATCACAGCTACAACCTACCCCTGCAGGGGTGGAGGATCTATTAAACTGGTCTGCCCGCAAAGAGTAATTGATCCTTTGAGATTCCAGGAGACCTTAGATGGTTCTATGGCTGGCATTACGAATGATCCTGTTGAAACCCTGGTCATAAGTGGAATCAAAATCTAATCAGGAATGTTGACATGATCACTCCCAAACGTCCTCTCTGACCTGTGACAGGCTCGATGGTATACAGAAACACTCAGGGAAATAAAATGTGAAGGACAATGACTAGAGCACAGAGGGCAGAAAACTCAACTTTTATGCAACAAGATACCGTATAGAGGGCACCTTTGCTCCTATAAGGTGGCAGTACGTGCAGCAAAGAAAGCTTTCTTCTCTGCATGCATTGTATCTGTAGATGCATATCCAGCTGAGCTGTTCAGAGTGGTGAGAAGCTTAACCCATGTGCCCTCCCCTCTGAACCCACTGCTGAGTCTTCAGTCGCTCACTGTGATGCTTTTAACAACCATTTTATAGATAAAATATTTTGCATAAGAACCAACATAAATGCTGTCACTGGAGCAGAAGCCAACATGGATGATCTTTGTCTCAACACTGACGGGGGGAATGTTGATCCCTAGACCTCTCAGCGGCCTTTGATACCATCAACCATGGTATCCTTCTGGAACGCCTGGGGTAGGGGAGTGGGTATCAGAGGCACCGTGATGCAGTGGTTCCAGTCATACTTCTCAAGTTGGTTCCAGATACTCTGCCAAATAATGGATAGCAACAGCAAAATGCAAGCAGAAATAGAATTCAAATATAAACAGATCGAAAGAAAGAAAGATCCAGCAGGGACCCACATTAAATGCTGTCTGCATAGGAAAATCCTTGCTTTCCTGGCATGAGAATAGGAGAGATGTGGCCATGCTAGCTTGTCTTGACAAGGACTTCTGGAGCCCAAGTGGAGTGATCAGTAAGAGAGAAGGATTTCCTCCAAAACAAGCTTCTCTAGAAGAATGCAGTCTTTCAAACTGGACAGTCCCAAGTTTCATAAGTCTTTATAGATCATACCAAGCACTTACCCCAGGGAAACAGTCAATCAAGATGTTGAGACAAGGAACTCAAACTTGCAACCTGTTGCCTGTTACTAATCCTGCTCAAAGCTCTGGCCCAGAATTCTGGATCAGTTAAAGTTTCCAAACACTTTTCAAATGACAGCAGACAGCATATTAGCATAGTCTCAACAGGTTGTAAGTAAAGCACGTGCCAGATCCTGCAAAATTTTCTCTTTATTTTGGAAGGATACAGTTTGTAAAACACACCAGACAATAGTTCTTTCAGCTGAAAAATGCTATATTTCCTTGCAGTTATATTTAGTATATTTTCTCCTTCAGAGTAAGAGATAAAAGATGTCGGACCCTGAAAGCACTGTCATCAATACCAGTGTGAAACCAGTAAGTTATTCAAGTAGCAATAGTTGATTACATTCAGGTATTGTTTTGTTATGTTTTTGTCATTTTGTTTCTTATAAGTGTTTACACTTCCATGCACTATAATTTTAAATAGATTTCTTTTAAAAATGTAACAAAGAAGTTATTCACGCCATCTAAAATTAACCTAGGTTTATGGCCCATTTAATGTACAGTAAAAATGACCAGGAGCTTTCTTCTGGCTGCTTTCTTGTGCAGATACATTTCTTGTTGGGCCATGTTGATATCTGTTACATTTTATACACACACACACACACCGGGTTGAAATTGAGTATGGCCAACTGATGGAACAATTTTACAAACTCATTATTGCATGGCATAAATCAGTAACACTACATATGCTTTGTATGCAAAGTTGTCTAGGTTCATCTCTAGTTCAAATGATTTATATTACTGCTACTCAGATTGGTGGCCTATTGACCCATGTCAGTCCCTGAGCTACTTGTTACTGGTCCCTGAGGAGTTTCCAAGAATGGAAGATAAAGATGTAGAAGAGAAGGTAAATAGGATACCAAGTCCCTGGCCCATATGAGCAAAATTGCCAGCCCTTCGTATGGGGTTGTTTAAGAAGCACTGCTCTAAGGGAGCAAGATTACTTGTTGAGACTTTGGTGAGCTTATGTCCATTTACAGACCAATGGGCTGTCTCAGTGTAAACCAGCACTGTATGTTCTGTGCATGAGATCTAAATTTAAAACAGAACTTGAAGACAATAACACAGAGGAAAGTATTAAATATAATTTAACATGATACTGAGGTGTTCTTTACTCCAAACCAACACAGTCTTCTAATAAATGGACAACCTGGCACCACTGCTGTAGGCAAATAAAAGCCAGGTGGTTTAAGATGCCACAACCGAGGTTCCTAAGACTGGTTGGGTAATAGCCATGAGAAAATTATAACCAAAAGTAAAAAAATGAAATCAAATGATAGTCAAATACATATTGACTTCAGATGACCCATTGATTCTGTATTCATTGATTCCATCATCCACAACTTGAAAATGGTCCAAAGAGCAAAGCTTGATTTTACTGTTTCATATAAAGGACTCCATTTTACTATGGTGTTGTATTTAATGGATCTAGACCAACTCCCAGAAATCCCAGCCAGTTTATCTGCTGTTAGGATTTCTGGGAGTTGAAGGCCAAAACATCTGGGAACCCACAGGTTGAGAACCACTGGTCTAGAGTGTTCCTCCTCAAACTTTGATCCTCCAGGTATTTCAGACATCAGCTCCAAGAACCCCTGAACATTTGTAAATCTGTAATATCCGTAACATCCATAAGGCCAAATTTTGAGAACCACTGCTTTAGACTGGAGAAATTACGAACCTGCTCTAGAAACAAAAAGGCTGATGCCCTTCCCAAACACAGCCTCTGTTATCTTGGCTGACAGGGCAGGGACTCCTGCAGTGGAAGGATGTCCCTATTTACTGGAAATCCAAAGGCAATAACACCCGCCCCCCCCCACACACACACACACACTTGAATGTTGGCTAAACCTCTACATCTTTGCTGGTTCATCTGATGTCCCTTTTCTCTCCTTTGGAAGCATATCAGTTGATGCTGGTAGTGCTGCATTCTGATACTTAGACACAAAGTGCTGCTTCCATTAACCTGTGGTATTCACAGTGGATACAATTATATGTATCATTTGCCTTAAGTACAGGATTGCAAAATCTTTTGGACAATCTGGTTTCCAAGAAAACAGAAGTACATGAGGAGGTTGTGAACATAAAAAACTGAAGAACCTTAAATATAAGTGTCATGGATTTGATTGGGAAGATATCCAAATGTTGGCTCTCATTCCTCTCATCTCTGTTTCTGGTATTTAATCAGTGTTAGTCAGGTCAGCTAAAACTGTATCCTGTTCTTCATCTTCTCTGCCTCAGAAAGATCCCAAAGAAGCTCTGGTTATTGCTGTGATGACAAGGGCTATTTTCAACCTGGAGAAGGAGCACGAGATCTTCTTGACCAAAGGAAAGGATGAGTATGTAAAGCATCAGCGAGAAAATGAGAACAACAGCTTGGAGCAAGGGACAGCCTTTGCTTTTGTTCAGGTAAAAGGCCAGGATGGCCCAAGACCTTTTCCTGCCTGATATAACAGGCAAAATGACACCATCTCCATTCCATACAGCCCCATTTTATCTTCAGGAACTTCATGGACTGCCAACGAAATCTTACTTTGACAGTAATGATGGGGAAGCTTTCTACACCATATTTGAGATCATCAAGCTGTTACAGCAGGCCCATAACTGGCTACCTATAACACACAGCTTTGTTATATATCAGGGAGGAATGCCCAGGGGCTGCTATTGATAATTCTTGTATGCCACTCAGCATCCACTGTCTTAGTTTGGGTAATAGTAGAGCTAGCACTTACTGTCCTCTAAAGAGAATCATTTATCTTGAAGTCTGTAGATGTTCTGCTTATAACACAGATGCAACACCTTGTAAACAGTGATCACATTCCCCTTTTCACTCACCATGAACCTGGCTCTATACTGTGCCTTATTCCCAATGATTACAAACAGCCAAATTTTGAACCAGGTTTTACTGTTTTAATGTCTAAGGAAGATTGTCCATTTTCCCTCTACACACATTCTTACACAGACACACACACAATTCTCCGAGCAGTATGAATTCAGCTTTACACAAGTTTTCCCTTAAAATGAAGTGAGGGGAGAAAGTTTACTAACATTGCTATATAATCAACTCACAATATCCATGGATTCAACAATCCACAGCTTTAAGATATTCCCCCCACACACAAAAAATTCCAAACAAAACTTTGATTTTGCATTTTATACAAGGGACACCATTTTATTACACCATTGTATATAATGACCGTCCACAGATTTTGGCATTCATAACTAAAACACCCCAGAAATGTCCATATTATCCAGAACTGCAACTGTGCTCTCAGATCCAATTCTTCATTTGTATTCTGGTTTCAGAGAAGTATTTTCATTTACCTATATGCAGTTCACTAAAAGACAATACACGTTCCATTCCAGAATGAAGCTCTGCCTATTTCCATAGTCTTTGTTAAAGCTTTGTTAACAAGGGGTGCATGCTTATTTTGCAATGTCCATTAAGATGGGGGTGTTGTGTGGTTTCCCTGCTGTATGGCCATGTTCTACCACAGCCATACAGCCTGGAAACCACGCAACACTCCAGTGTTTCCAACTGTGAAAACCTTTGTCAATCTATTAAGATTGTCTTGAAAAGTCTTAATTGCTTGACTAGCTTTGCAGGTTTTGCCTCTTATAATCTACATTCACATGATTGAGTAGTGTCCCAAGAGGGCATTCAGCAGAACCCTAAATCCATAACATTATTACAAATCAATATATACAATACATACACCATATATTTCTCTATAAACATATATTATATATCAGGGCTCTTAAACAATTCCCTAATTAAATTAATCCATTCCCTTAAGTCATTAAAATGTTAAACAGTTAACATAACATTTGTTAAACACCAACAACATTGTAGTAATTATTGTTCCCTATTATTTTAATGTATTACTTTTGAATTGACATGTTTTGCTACTTTTTTTAAAAAAATAGACAGTTTCATGATGAGACATTTTTTATTAACAATTCCTATGAAATTAATTTTCCTGTAACATTTTAACACCACTGAATTATGTATTTATTCAACTTCAGTGTGGTGCTGCTACAGGCAGTATTCCCAAACATTGTTTTATATTGAAAACAAAAGAAATGAAGGAAGGAAGGAAGGAAGGAAGGAAGGAAGGAAGGAAGGAAGGAAGGAAGGAAGGAAGGAAAGAGTAAGCTATGGATTTTAAAGACACAGTCAGAACTACACAGGATTTGAGAAGAGGTCACAAAGATGTCATAGGCAGTTGAAATAGTTATCCAGTACAAACACAGCCCTCACACCCAAAAGGGAAAGATGTAGAGCTGTTTGATTTTCATTTATTTTTTCAGAACTCACCAGGACATTAGGAAGCCACTCACACCCTCTCCTACTTATAATATTATGCACATGACAACACCCAAAGTGTATCTACTCATGGTCCTTATTTTGATATACCAACAATAATGCACTCATAACTGTTTCTTTCAGGCTGTGCAGTTTGTGAACAAGAAACTTCTTGAAAGAAACCCTGAAGAAAAGAAGCTCTTTGATGTCATTGTTCTCTCCAATAACAGCCCTGAGAGTGGTGCCCGCATCATTAATAGTGCTAAACACCATGGTAGGTTCTCTGATCTGAAGAGAGCAAGGTTCCTCCCACTTAACCCTAGAAACACATTTGCATCATAGATTTCTTTGTGTGCATAGGTGGTTTCAAGTCGCTGTTGACTTATGCAGTGGTTCTCAACCTGTGAGTCCCCAGATGTTTTGGCCTTCAACTCCCAGAAATCCTAACAGCTGGTAAACTTGCTGGGTTTTCTAGGGGGTTGTAGGCCAAAACACCTGGGGACCCACAGGTTGAGATCCATTGACTTATAGTCATCCACTGGATGTTTCAGAGTTTTCTTAGGCAAGGAATACTTCAAGGTGGTTTGTTGTAGTCTTCTGAAATATAGCTTTTAGCACTTGGCATTTCTTGATGGTCACTCATCCAGATACTGACTAGGACTGACCTGCTTAGCTTTCAAGGTCAGACAGGATCTGGTACTTTCAGAGTATTTAGGCTGCCCTTCCAGCCTAAATACTCCTTAATAAACAACAAAATGCTGGATTTTGTTTTCTTACAGACCTTCCCCCACCCGTTTTAACCTGCTCTGAATTCCTGAATTTAACAGTGCTAAATCACCTGTACTTGAGAACTGGGGGGATCGAGTGTGATGCAGAGTCATTCACATTTATGCCAGTCTAGGAAGGAGTTCACAGTCACCAAGTGATTTTAGACTCAGAATTTCATGGTTGTATATTTCTTACTTCACGGTCATGGATGTATTACTTGTGGAACACAATCATTTCTATTCTCTTAATGCCATTTCACGCTTTCTTGATATAGATAGATAGATAGCCCAAACTTACTTTTAAACGTGATTTTTTAAAAAAGGATTTGGAGCATGTGAAGTTACACAGCTTCATTAATTTAAATCATAGTACCATTGTAACTGCAAGGGTCGAGTTTCCTTCTGATGTGTTAATGCAGAACCAGCCCTGCCATTAGGCAGAGTGAGATGGTTATCATGAAACAACAACTAATCATTTAATTTATTATGACTATATTAACTGTATTTTCCTAACAGGGAGGGAAAGGTTCTTTGAGGGTTTTCTGTCTCAGGTATCAAAACAACTTCAGATGACAGGAGTGTGTTCTAAGTAGAGATTCTGCTAAATACCATTTTTGTGGTAGTAAAGAATTATATATATAATCCCTAACTATAACAATATACATGATAACAGGTGTGTGTGTAATATTTTATACTTTTATTTAATATATTATTTAATATATCATATATATTAAATAAAATAGAAATGTGAATGACTCTGCAGCATATATATATATATATATATATATATATATATATATATATATGCAATTTCAACAACAAAAATATAATTTCACAGCAATGTATTTGCGTCAGAATGGAATGAGCCCAAACTATTTACCTGAGATTTTAAAAAATTCTATATCTTTCTCTCTCTCTCTCTCTCTCTCTCTCTCTCCAGTTGTTTCCACCTCTTCCGGTTGGCCAGTATCTGCAAATACTGTTATGAATGCATAATCTAGAGTTAAGAATTTGCAATTGTTTTGTTTTCATAGTTCCTCCATATGCCTAGTTAAGGACGATGCAGAGACCATGAAAGTCCCCCAATCCCTACTGTGATTAATTGGATCATTTTCCTCTATTGATTAGCAAGCACCTGAGTAACGTTTCAACCACCCTCTTCAGAAAAGCAATCCCCAGTGCCAGGAAAAATTATGACAAGGACCTTGCTTCTGACTCTTTCATCAGAAGTCACTTACAGAGGGTGATGGGAACATAAGTTGACAGATTCCCAATGGACAGGGGAACAGATGCTCACCGATTGCAATGGCTTCTGCTCACTAGTGGAGATGTGAGGCAAGGCAGGCCAGTAGTCATTAGAAGTAAGCCCCATTATGTTTAATGGAGGTTCCTACCAAGTACATGACATAGGACTGCATCCTTAGCTAATCGTTTTTAGGAGTCAGTTTTACTCACTGATGATTATTGTTATGGGCACATGTGTTGGTTGTGGCAGCAACTTTCTTATTTTAAAATGTCTATGCCAAATATGTGATTTATAACATTTTAGTTGCATTAGTCAATTTATGATGAAATAGATGACATCAAAAGTTTATTTAAGCAAAGGGAAAAAATCATGGAAGGAAGCAAACATGTATTACACATATAAAATATTCTAGACTCTCATAGTTTGGTAGTTTTGTTACGTCCTGCCTTTCCCCCAAAGAGATCAAAATGGTATACACACATCTCCACCCTTGCAAGAGAACCTGGCAAAGTCCGTTGGTCTGGGAGAGTCAAGGATTACTCAATGAGGGCCCTCCCACACAACCATATAACCCAGAATACCAAGGAGGATAATCCACAATATATTCTTTGAACTGGATTATATGAGTCCACACTGCCACATAATCCAGTTCAATGTTAATTTTATATAGCTGTGTGGAAGGGGCCTGAGTTTCATGACTCAGTGGAGATTTAAGCCTGGAAATCCCAACCCCCTGTCTACACTGACTATAAGAATTTTGCATTCAGAATTAGAATTGTTGAGACACTGGGCATACCCTTTGATCAGCATTGGATCTCCATTTTGTCACAATAAGGTAGGGATAAAGATATATTCTTAATTAGGATGCTGAGGTAGAGTTTTCTAAATTTGACTAGCAGCATGGGTAGGAGTGGGTATGGTCCCTGGTGTGGAAGGGATGGTCACAGTAGAAAGCAATGCTTAGATTTCTCTAAGTGGCCACTTCCTCAGCCAGGTCTGTCTCTACATATCCGTGAATCCTCATGATTGATTCTCCAATTCAGTGTGCCCAAAGTCATGGGAATAGCCTGTATAACTTATATTATAAATGGGTAGAAAGATCTAGGTATTTAATACTACTGTAACAATACATTTATATAAGTAGCATCAAAAATGAGAGTTTGTGCATTTGCAGTTCTATAAAAAGCGTGGGTTGCTTGAGACAGTTCTAACTTGAGTTTTATCATAAATAACTGATATTCTCATGTTACTTTGAAGCAGTTGCCTCTCCCATCAGCAAGTGTACTGCAGAATTATCTTAGCAATGTGACTCAGAATTTGCGACCACACCTTTGCTGTTTCCAGGTTGTTTCTGCTTACATAATTCTATAATGTCTTGCTTATTGCTAGTTTCCTCCACATGAAATTTCTAAAAGTTTGATTACTTTGCTTGGTAAATGTGAAGAGGCTGCAGCAATATTAATGCTCAATCTCACATCCATTAGAATTCCATGTATTTTTAGAATGTAGACCTGGCTACAGGTAGACTAGGGGACATGAAGTCTATCTCACTCCCACATGGATGAAGAGGAGGGCATGCAGACTGGAATCCTATTGGTCCATTATGCTGATCTATCTACACTGGTATAGACAGTGCCAGAAGAACAGTAGCTGTGATGGAAATAAATCACTGAACAAACAGGCTGCTTAGAGTTTGCAGATTTTGTTTGCCTTCCACTGCCACCACTGTGTAATCTTGGAAAAAGTGTAGTCACTAACGGACAGGTGTAGCAAAAAGATTCAAGCTGGAGACAATGGCTGGAATTAACCTTGGCAGTTACAAATGCATGGCCACTGAAATTATATAGCTAAATAGACATGTGTTGGTTTGTGCTAAAAGTTTTTGTAATTAATTGTTTCAATTGTTGTATACAAAATAAATAACTAAAGGTTGGTCTGAATGAAAAGAACCAGACAATTGTTTTCTATTCTCTTTTCTAGTACCAAAAAAATGTGTGCATATGTGCCTTCAAGTCAGCTCCAGAAATGTTCCACTTATACTACTAGGAGCTCCTTCCCAGGGCTAACAGCAATTTTATGGAGAATTTTTCATCAAGATAGTGGCAGAGGGAAAGAATGAATGTCTTTAACTATGTATCATAGTTCTGCTTATCTAGTTTGGTCACCAACACATCTCCTAGCAACTATTTCAGTTCTTGTTTATACACAACAATGTATCGTTTAGGCTTCAGTGTAAGACTGGTTGTGCTTGAGGAATGACTTCTTGCTCTAGTTGTACCTATGGCACTACAGTGACATCTGGTGACAACAGTGTTACAAATGCACATTTTTTAAATAAATGTGACAGAGAGAGACACCTGAGTTTAATTTCCAGGAGAATGCTCATTTCAACAATAAATATGTATATGTATATGTATATATGTATATATATATATTTCTCGCATTTCTATCCCGTCCTTCACAACCCCCGAAGGGGGACTCAGACAGGAACGAGCCATTCAAGTCCATTACATAGTATATTTCCACAGACTTAATGCAAAGCCTGAACTACAGAAATCCCCAAGCCAGTACAACCTAAATGTAACCAATAGGTAACAAAAAGGCAGGGAGGAGGAACATAGCATTTTGGTTTGAGTCCAATTAACAAGATAAATGCTAATATAGCTGGTGTTGACCTTTAAAAAACTAGAGGTCCTTTCCTGTAGTTCTGTTTTATGGTGTCTTATTAAACCAGCATTAAATGAAGAACCTTTCTGTGGCACCAAAGCTTTATTTATTTATTTATTTATTTATTTATTTATTTCCTATATTATTTATTTATTTCCTATATTTATACCCTGCTCTTCTCAACCCAAGGGGGATGCAGAGCGGCTTACAGATTAGGCACTTCATTGCCACATTGTAATACTGTGGTTGTCCTCCATGTTGCTGCATATCAATTTTGTGTTGATACTGCAGCAGGGAAGAGCTCCTTGCCCCACCCCAGCCATTCCACAGATATATAAACCCATTTTTCCTACTTCCAACAGACCTTCTCAAGCTCTGAGGATGCTTGCCATAGATGCAGGCGAAACGTCAGGAGAAATGCCTCTAGAACATGGCTCTATAGCCCGAAAAAACCCACAAGAACCTAATTTTGTGTTGCACTATTCCTGAATGCCTGATTCCAGAGCCAGGTCTTAACTTTTTTTCTAAAGACAAGGAGGGAGGGAGCCAGTCTAATATTGTTGGGGAGGGAGTTCCATAGTCGAGGGGCCACCACTAAGGCCCTGTCTCTCATCCCCACCAGTCACCCTTGCAAAGGGGATGGGACCGAGAGCAGGGCCTCCCAACAAATCTTAATGTTCTAGCTGGTTCAAAGAGGGAGATACATTCAGACATGTAAGTTGGACACTATAGAGTGTCCTATGTGGGAAAATCCATAGAGTTCCATCTCTTTTTGCTTATATGCAAGCTTTGAAGGGTTTTGGCAATTGTTATTGATGACTAACCTATCTGTTTTAAATTTCATTTATTTTTATTAAAGTTATTAGGAAGGACTTATAAACAGAATGTATAATTGTATTTTTACCCTGCATTGTGTAAACTTTTATTTTTACCTAACAGGATATTGGGGGGGGGGGGGGGATGCAATGTAAAACAATATATTCATATTTGAAAATGCAGTTTTGTTTTGGGTTTTTTTTATTTCAGATCACACTCCAAACTCCTTCTTCCCTTTCCCCTGCAGAGTTTCAAATGTGTATTTACCATTAACATTGCAATTGTGGGTGAAGAGCACAGCACTTATAGGATGGGTGGAATGTGGATATCATGGATGTTTACTAGTTTGGCCCTAAGAATGAAATATTGTGATATGCTATACCAAGTATTGCTTGAATTTTCTTTCTTTCTTTTTACTATAATTAGTAAATTAGTTGTTTATTTCTGGATTTTAAGGTCTGGAGATCTCCAAGTTCTGCTTTGTCAGTGATGAAGACTCTACCCAGTACTTGAAAATCCATAATGTGAAGCTTTTTCTCTCAGCTGACAGAAAGGATGTATACAATGCACTTCAGAGAGGTTGGTATCCCTTCATTAGCCAAAATACTTGCTCTTACATTTTGCTGCCATCTCTCTGATGATTTGTCTCTCCCTCAACAAGTCTCTTCCCTTGTGTCTTTTTACAAAATTCTGTGAGCACCCTCTTGAGGAAAACATTCATGCAATATTAAATTCATACCATTAGAGCACACACGGAAACAACCTTCTGCTGCTCTAAAATCTTTCAGTAAGTTTTTATACCAGATGGTTTCCTCAGAATAAATCCTCAGGATAGCTGGTGGTGTTGGGTTCACAACTGGAATCATTATTCTGCCCAAAGTGGGAAATAGTGTGGAAAATAAACATGTTTTCTATTAAAGAGGAAGACAGTTTCTCTTAATTTTCTGCACATGTCACATTGCTTAGTACAGGCTTCTGAAGAAACCTTGCCCTATTCAGCCCATGTAGGAGACAGGAAAATCAGTATTTCTTATGTCTTGGGGCCTCTTTTGAGAAGAAAGATGGCCACATCAACCAGCAATCCTGCCTCCAAAGAATGAAGACATGAACCCAGCACCCTTGTGATTTGTGAGCCACAACATCTAAAAATGTTCATTACTTGTCAGAAAGAATCATAGGGTTGGAAAAGCTCACAAGGGCCATTCAGTCCAACCTTCTGAAACAAAATACAATCAAAGCATTCCCGACAGATGGCCATCTACACTGTGCTTAAAAACTTCCAAAGGAGGAGACTCCACCACTCTATGAAGCAGCAGATTCGACTAAACAGACAGCTCTTACCATTAGGAAGTTTTTCCTAATGTTCACATGGAATCACCATTTCTCCATTTTGAATTCATTGCCAATAGCAGAAGAGCTTTACTTGAACTATTTCCCTTATTTGGAAACATGCACCTGTAAGAATATGAGGGAGTCAGAAGCTCCTACTCTTGGTCTGAAGATACTCCCTTAATCCTAAGAGAAGAGAAACCCGCCATGGATCAAGGCTTATTGATGAACATAAGGTGTGTGTGTGAAGGGTGAGGCTGGGGAAAGATTAAAGGAAAAGATGCTGGGCAGAGAGGGGAGGAGGGAGATGAAGGTTTGTTGGATCTGTCTATGATACGACAACAAGAGTACTTTAACAGCTTGACGGCTTATGCTTGAAGTCTATTATCTTACATTTACCTTACCCATGGTAGAGGAAAAGCTTTCTAAACAAGCATTTCAAAGCTTATGCTGTGCCTCTGCCAAAGAAAGACGGAAAAACTCCCACAGCACCATATCTACCTCATCTTCACTCAGGAAATTGCACATTTAAAATAAGACCTATGCCAAGCCTCCTGTGTGCCTCTGCTGAACAAGCTGTATAATAAAGCATGTAAATAGTCTGTTTCATACACAGGAGTCTCCGCAGCACTCATCTTCCAGCAAGAGATACAGGCTCCCACCAACCAGCTGCGGGTTGTCTTTGATGGAGATGCAGTTCTCTTTTCTGATGAAACCGACCGTGTCTTTCGTGAAAAGGGACTGGAGGGAGCTATCGCGTATGAGAAAAGTATGGAATCAGTACCCATGGGAGAGGTAAGGTTATGCTTTGTCAGCACTCGTTTTCCCCAAAGGGTATGAGGATGAATTTTGTTGGCCAAGCAGAATATTCAAACCCAAACAAAGGTCAACTGTTGAGACTCTCTGAAGCATTCAGAGTGCCCCACTTTCTCAGGACCATGTAGGGGGACAATTTTATTTCAACTTTGCTCTTTGCAGGCCACATGGATCTCAGAAAATGTCAGAAGGGAGGGGGAATCAGACACTGGAAACCTATTTCTGGTTCCAAAAAATGCTATCCTTTATTAAACATTGTGAGGAACAGAGATGAGACCTACTTGAAAAGAAAATTTCAAGGAGAGGCTTTCCCCCTCCTTTTTTGGATTGCACATCACCTCAGGCCACAACTTGCCCACCCTGATCTCATGAATGCTGAAGTCAGAAAACATCTGTTTTTTAGCAGAGAAATCAAGCTATAACATTTTTGATGTTTGAAATTGCTGAAACGTCTCCTTCTTTGCTTACTGCTATTAAATTAATAAAGTTAATAAAGTATCTGACAAAAAACATTTTAAAAAGTCTTTTCATATTCCAGACCCCCTTTCCTTGTCTTCTGTCTAGCTGGAGAATTTTAGTATTTGTAATATTAATAAGATGACAAACAAGGGCTGAAGATACCCTAATCTCCAGTATTGTTTTAAAGCAGTTTGCCTGCAGTAAACAATGCAATAAAAGTTTGAGCTGTAATGCGTGGGATTCTACTCTACTCAGTCCTAGTGTAGCTATGTGCACCTGCCTACTAAGGCAGATCTATAAGTTTGGCCAATGGATATAATTATTTTCATGTCAGGAGCGACGTGAGAAACTGCAAGTAACTTCTGGTGTGAGAGACTTGGCCGACTACAAGTACATTGTCCAGGGGACACCCAGATGTTTAATGTTTTACCATACTTGTGGGAGGCTTCTCTCATGTCCTGGCATAGGAAGCTGGAGCTGACAGAGGGAGCTCAACCCACTCCCCAGATTTGAACAGCTGACCTGTTGGTCAGCAGTCCTGCCAACACAAGGGTGTAACCCACTGTGGAAGCTAGCAAAATTATGCATCTCCAAATGGTCTTTGGAAGAAGACTTTAAGTGGTATCTAGAAGGTTCAGAATGTTTTTGATTTACCTGCATAAGGCTTACCTGATCTGGTTGTTTCATTTCATATGCACATATTGTTTATATTGGACAAAATGTCTGCTAAAACATGTTTAACTGGTCTTCCTTTTTTGTGCTGTAGGAAGCTCTCCTTCCTTTCATATTATTCCTGCTCCTAGCACCAAATTTGCTGTGAAAAAAGCAATACCCAAGAACACACCTACTTTGTTAAGTGGTGTATGCCTGTATTTGAATGTTTGTTTTTGGATAGAGTGAAATACTTGTGGCTCACATTGTGGTGTTCTTTTTGAATCAAAAAGTGTGATTGTAGCTCACTTACATTTGCATAGAGCAATGTGGTCTGTTTTTGCTTCCTGGAGTAATACACCTCTGTCTCTCGTACCTATCACATTCTACAGGGGCCATTGAAAGCCTTTGCTTTGCACCTTGGGAAAATTCACAACAAGTTTGGTCAAGAGGACTCCCCCATCCGCACTTACTTGGTAACTGCCCGCAGTGGCCGTGACATGGGCATCCGGACCATCAAAACCCTAAGGAAATGGGGCTTGGCAATTGATGAGGCCTTCTTCATGGATGGAGCTCCTAAAGGCCCCATCTTGTCCAAAATCCAACCTCACATCTTCTTTGATGATGGCCTTCACAATATACAAGGTGGACTGGATGTTGGTGTTCCCTCTGCCCTGGTCCTTTCTGGTGGCAGTGAGGATGGAAATGGCCATATTACCATGTGATTACTGAGCACGGTTTTGGACTGAAAGGACAATGAAATTTGGAATTCTCAATCCAGTCTGACCATAGTTTGTAATGAAGAAAACAAGACATAAAATCAGATAAAGATGAAGAAGAGGAGAACGAAAGCAAGGTCACTGCAAACCTTTCCGACAATGGTTTTCCCTTGGGTTTTGCCTCTGCTCAAATATCATTCAGCAGCCAAGGAGAAAAGCAGGATTACCACCTGCTCTTAGAAGCCACTCCATTGGGTTTTGCCTCTGCCTCACTGACAGCCAGTGGTTATGAAGCCAAAAAACCTCAAACTTTGTGCAACAATTTTCTTGTTTTCCTTCTCCCTCTCATATCTTTTTCTCTTACTTTAGATCTTTTGAGAGCAAAGGCTTGAGGGGACAGATGCTTTTTAAAAACTGATATGAGTTGGGTAGAAAGACTATAAATAAACAAAATACTGTGCTGCTTTTGGAATAAATCAAAAAGCAAAGACCAATTTAACCAGAGCGTCAAAATAGAAATGTTGCTTGAAGTCGACATCTGCTTTCATCTGCCTCCATTTTTGCTCTCCACCAGCTTGTTTTATGTTCTGTTAGGGCAAAGGAACTTTCTAATTAAATTTAGGCATAGTGAAATTGCAGCTCGACATTTTCAGAAACAGAGGGAGAATCCATTCAATTGAGATAAAAACTAGGACTTGGCTTATGAGAAAAAATCATCAAAATTCCAGTCCAGAGCCTCTATCCAATTAACTCTGTACTCCAAATACTGCTTCAATTGAGCATGGCTTTCTTCTCACAGAAAAAAATGTAGTTGTAAATTTATTCATTTTTGAAAAGCCTAAGCCTTTGCTGTGAATCTTCAGTTCCCATTAGCACAATCTGGAAGGGGTTGATAGATGCTTCCATTTGGGAGGCTCATTTCCAGTTATCGCTCCTTTATTATAAACAACTTGAGGAATTACAGTTGGCTTTCCCCACTTCAGTAGGATTGGTGCTGTGTGTGTGAGTAAATACATTGCATACACACACACCTTGTTGCCCACAGTTGGGAACATGGTGCACCAATAGGTCTGGGGATAAACACTAATTTGATAAAATCAATTACACTATTAAGTTGGAAATTTTCTTACAAAAAAGCAACTTTCTTAAATTGATATTTAAACTGAAATGTTTGACCTAAGTTTAAATGTCAGCATTAACTTAACTCCACGTTTAAGCTTTGTACAATGCTTAAAAGCCGGCACAGATTATGATAGTTTAATTTACTCTCAAGGCTGTATCAAACCAACAAGTAATAAGGGCAGCTTGGAAAAGGAGTGGTCTTTGCATCCAGATGGCATTACCTGTTGCACTGAATTATGATGCCAGTAACCCTAGAACAGTGGTTCTCAACCAGGTGTTTTGGCTTACAACTCCCAGAAATCCCAGCAAGTTAAGCTGTTAGGATTTCTAGGAGTTGAAGGCCAAAACATCTGAGGACCCACGGGTTGAGAACCACTGCCCTAGAATTTTTTCTGGGAGGCATGAGAAAATCAGCAATAAAGAAATAAATAACTAATAACGATGGATGTCATTTTCTAACTTCATTATGGTAAGGGTTTTAGTGCAGCCATTCAGCTTAAATTTTATGAGGAAATTAAACACAGAATCATAGAGTTCAATTTCCAATCATGCAGGGATACATAATCAAAGTACTCCTGACAGATGACTATCCAGCCTCTACTTAAAAACCTCCAAAGAAGGAGACTCCAGACACTCCAAGGCAGCATATTTCACTGTTGAATAGCTCTTATCATCAGGATGTTCTTCCTAATGTTTAAGTGGAGTCTCTTTTCCTTTAACTTGAATCCAGATAACTTTAACAGGTTTCTCTTTCTAATGTAAATGCACCTTAATTATTTTTTTAGCTAGATGCATTAATAGTTTTCTACTCCTAGCATTCCCCAGCCAAGATAATATTTCCACTGAAAGGATAATATTTCCAAAATGGGATCAAAGTGGGATCCTGTTCAAAAGAAGTGTGGGGCAGTTTACATGTTGATGAGTGATGCACTACAGTACTTTACATTTTTAAATTAAAAAGTAGATTTTTCTATAATCTGAGAAAAGAGGTTGAAGGCAAATAGAGCAGGATAAGGATTTGATAACATATATAGATGCTTTATAAAAAGTAATTTAAGTGTATCTATCCCATAGCCGTTCTGAGTCCCTCCATGGAGGTCAAGAAGAACAGGGTATAAATGTTTTAAATAAAAAAATATGTACCTAGAAAAATTATCTTTAGTGACCTATTCCTTTGCCTTTTCTTGATTTCATTTCATCTTTATAACTATACAAATCGTTGATAATTTTACAAGTGTATTTTTCTTTTTCTTCATTTTGTCAAATACAATTTTAAGTAAAAGCAAAACAAATATATAATGAGTGGATATTAATTATTGGCTTCTCTTACATTTTGTTTTTCTGCTGCTGTTTAAAAGCAAACTGTCTATCTATGATATATTTACACTTCTGGTTTTCTTGCTGTAGATCACACCCTACAATTGTTCCCGTTTGGGGCAATTCTGATTAATCCTCTGTTGTTCCACTTTTCCAGTTGCCTTTAAATTTGCCCCATTTCTTCCTTCTGCCCCTTGGTCTTCAGCTTACTTCAGTTATTTCAGACTGAGAAGTAGTTTGCAGCCAGTCAACCCAGTGGGGGAGGGAGAGGGAATGCTTTATAATTATAATTATAATTATTTATTTGTACTCTGCCCCATCTCCCCGAAAGGACTCAGGGTGGCTCACAAAAAGGACTAAAGGTGCCGCACATAAAAAATAAAATTACATAGCACAAAAACAATACATAAATTAACTGAATAAAACAATGGACAACATCAATTGATAAAATCAAGAGCTTAAAATTTATAAAACACTATCAAACCTGTGGGTAATTGGGCTTCTTAAATCACAAATTAAAGTGCCTAGCAACAATGGCACTTCCTAGTAGGCTTGGGCAAAAGCAAATTGCTGTAGCTAGTCTGTTCTGATTCATTATTAACATTTGCCATCTTGATGACACTTCGATATTACATGGACACACCTGTTCTGATTTTCTGAGAAATTTTGAAGGGTAAAAATTCCAAGAAATGACAGCCAATGACTCAGGGACTATTCCAGGTACCACCATTTTGATTAGCACTGCACTTATTGTTGAGTGCCTTTAAGTCCCCTCCCCCCAACTAATGACAACCCTAAAGGTCACATGAATGGAGAGATTTGCCCAAAGTAACCCAGTGGGTTTATATGGCCAAGTATGAAACCAAAGCCTGTTCTCCAGAGTCATAATCTAATGCTCAAATCAATGTACCACACTGGGTTGGTTAAAATACCAATTTGTTTTCCATCTGATGGTGTCCACTAGAGGACAGCATAGAGAGCTACCAAAAATAAAGTTTTCAATAACACACTTTCCTTTGACATCACACTCTCACATGCGTGCAGTGTATGTATGAGAGAAAGGACATGTATATGCATTTGTAAAAGCTAGGAGCATTCAAGCATACACATCTGCATTGTTTTTACCCAGATCATAGATAAGGCTGCTGTTTCTGGAACAGAAAGTATAAATAAGAATTCACACCAGCGTGGATCACCATTTTTGTTCAAGGTGTCTCTTGTTCTCTCTTTAGCTACATGCTACATTATCAACCCAAAGTTATATTAAGCGCCAATTCAAGATGTCTTGCTGATCAAGAAAAAGTTTTAGATGTTGCAATCTACTCCCCACCATCACTACCCATACCATGGACAGAACCAAACTGCCCAGGTATTTTTTCTTCAAATGCCAGCATTGGGATAGTTTATGAAATGCACATTACACTGTGTCATCCCATGACCTAGTTTTCTAATCAAGAGTCTGAGAAAAAATGAGGAATGGCCACCTCTCTCTGTCCCCCAACAATTGCTGTGATGTCATCTCATGTTGTCTATTAGCGGCACCAGTCTTATTATATCTCCTAGGAACTGTTGTAAGCTCTTAGAAAAGCATTAAGAGAAAACAGCTCCAACTGAGGGTACATCTGCACTATAGGATCAATGCAGTTTGACTCCACTGACATACCTCAATATTATGTCAGTGAGACATCAGTACTCTTTGGCAGAAAAGGCTAAAAAAAACCCTCCTGTTATTCCACACCACTGAGCCATGGCAGTTACAGTGTTGCCAAACTGCATTAATTATACAGTGTAGATGCACCTTGAGCTATTAAGCAAAATTTCTTTTACCAATACCCAACAACCATGCTGACTCCCAATATCACAATTCATTTTGCACAGAAATGGCCATCATAACAAAACTGCATAGTTGCTACAATTACTGCACCCCGTTTTGCTCTTCTAGACCTATTCTAGGAGATACTTTGCTGAGGAAGCCAAATCTACTGCATAGCAGTTATGTAAAGAACTTCCTTAATTAAGCCCTATCCCCTAGGCTTTTCTGATGATGTTAATGGCTGACTCAGTCAAATATTTGAGTAAGAAGGGATTAACCAAGGCGAAAAAGAAATGCAAAAAGGAAACAAGTTGCAGCTAAAAGGATAGGATGAATATCCAAAGGCATGGTGGGAACTGGGATCCTAGAGCCCTGGGACAAATAAAAAGCACTCTAGTGTTCATTTGTTTAAAAATAAATGAATCCAACTGGTGTCTGACTAAAGTAGGGGTTCTCAAACTTTTTCAGTCACTGAGCCCTTTCTGAAGCAAAAGTTTCTCGTGGAAACCCATATATAATGTATATATATCAAGCATAGGCAAACGTTTTGACCAATATAAACTTAGCAATATTTCAGTGGAAGACCTCAGTGGCCATCCAGTCCAACCCACTTCTGTAGGAAAAGCACAATCAAAGCTCCCACAACAGATGGCTATCCAGCCTTTGTAATTATTTATTTATTTCTTTATTTATTTCAGGCTTTTATATCCCATCCTATCTCAACCTCCACAGAGGGACACAGGATGACTGTTGTTGTTGTTGTTGTTGTTGTTGTTGTTGTTGTTGTTGTTGTTGTAAAAGTAATAAGCGCAACCCCAGGGGCCATCCAGTTCAACTCCATTCTGCCACTCTGTTCTGTAAAATTTATTATTTATTTACTTTATTTATACCCTACCCTTCTCAACCCCGCAGGGGACTCAAAGCGGCACAATGCACCTCCTGAGCAGTGGGAGAGAAATAGGGTTTTGGAAGCAAGCAAGGTCAGGTGAAAAGAATCTGGATGGCAAGGGGGGAAAGGGGATTTGGGGAGTGAACAACATGGCCTGAAACTATGTGGTTAGTTAGTGTAGACTCATATAATGCAGTTTACACTGATTATATAATGCAGTTTCAAGCAATGTCCCATTTCCTTCCACCAGTGCGCATTTTTCTTCAAAAACCAAAAGAGAGTTTTATCTTTATCCACAAGCTTTCTCTGTGAAGTACTGTGGATTTATTAATATCCCAAATAAATATCTGGGCAGCAGGCACGCAGAGGTTGCTGCCCATTGGCCTGTACAGACAGGGCTATCACACTCTTCAAAGGAAAACAGCTAGCCTTCCGGCTAATGATGGTTGGTTGTGCATCTGAGACTTTATTATTTAGCTGCCAGATAAGCCCATGAAGTTAATCAAGATCAGAAAAGCACAGAATGGCTTCCAAGTATAATGCTAGATCTCTGGTAGATATCACAAGTCTAGCTTGACTAGCCTTATTGAAGCTATATTGATGTATACCATCTAGTCATCTTGTCCCAGGAGCCCCCGGTGGCGCAGTGGGTTAAACCCCTGTGCCGGCAGGACTGAAGACCAAGAGGTCACAGGTTCGAATCCTGAGAGAGGCGGATGAGCTCCCTCTATCAGCTCCAGCTCCTCATGAGAGAAGCCTCCCACAAGGATGATAAAAACATCAATTCATCCAGGCATCCCCTGGACAATGTCCTTGCAGACGGCCAGTTCTCTCACAACAGGAGTCACTCCTGACACGACAAAAAAAATCTTGTCCCAGAACTGTACAATTCAAAGACATATCTGTGTTAGTCTACAATATGAGTATGTAAGGCAGGAATTCTTAATCTTTTTTCCCCCATGGACTCCTTGCCAGTCAGATGAAAATCATGGATCACTTCTCAGACCGTAGGAACAGATAGTTTTATGACACTCAACATCAGCATGTCTTTAAATTAAATTTTAGGGTTATTCAAAATTATGTTTTACAAAGATAATAAATTGATTTTTTTCCAATTCAAGCTCACAGACCCCCAGGGATCCATGAATCTCTGGTTAAGAACCCTGGATGTAAAGGGATCTTGAAGCACCTTGGAGACAGATGGAGAGAAAGTTAATTGCATAAGCTTTCAGAGATATCAGATGCAGTTAAGTCTCTTAAACTACTATAAGATCCCTTTGCATATATGATAATACAAAAATACAGAGTTACCTAATGGACTTTTGAAGCCATTATAGGTTGGAAAGATTTTTCTCCTCCTTTTTAAAAAATACTGGGTCATTCAAGTTGTAGCTCTCAGTATGACTATCTTGCAATTGTGACAACAGCTTTTGGTAGGAAACTGTGAAAGGAACATATTTTGCCATTTTCAATTCAAATATGGCTGAAATCATGTTTACCATTGAAAGGGTGAGTCTTTTAAATGTACCAGAGGTGTGTGAGAGAAGATGGAGAAGAGGCACTGAACCTAAGCAGTCTTTGTTTTGACTTTACCTCTCAGTTCCATTTCTATTTGCCTCTATGTGCTTATACTGAATACTAGGAAAATATTTTTCTACCTTGTCACTCCAGCTAGTTTGTGCACCTGCCCCTGTAAGGAAGTGTTTGAGGCCCCTGGCATTTGCAGTATTACACCTTTAGTCTTTAAGGAAACGCGCAGGACTTGTAATACAGTATACTACCTCATTGGATCACCACAAATGGAGCTGGTCTCCTTTCTAGAATGGATTCAAAGGACAGATTGTTTCCACTGTTCAGCAACATATTACACACATAGCTGGTCGGTGTTTAATTTTGTTTGCTTGCTTTATGTCTATAGTTGGCAATACCCTTGTTAGGACCAATGAAAAATACAAACATGTAGGTTCTCCAGAACATGAGACTAAAAAAAAAATACATGGAGGACAGGGAAGAAACAAAATATCCAAAACTCAAACCAGATGCTGCTGTTATGAGGTCTGCAGTTTAAGACAATCTCAACAGGAAAACTGCAAGATGAATGAGTCATTAGTGAGTTTGTTATCCTCAAGGTAACCATATCTGCAAATGTATATTGAGATAAGGAACCGATGTTTGGTTTTTTTTTTTAAAGGAAGGTATCTCACCACACAGTCTGTCATTCTATTGCCTTGAGCATGCCATACAAGTTTTCAAGTTAATACCAAGAAA